TCGACCTTGCCCGCTGTGATCTCGTCTGGCGCATCGCCTTGAGGTACATGACGTCAGTGGTCTGCACTCAAGGTTCCCGAAACGCTCGACATTGGACGCGGTCCGAAGCCCCGCCAATACGTCACATCTCCCCCGGTTACACGCCAATTTGTGGACGCAACACTAGACGTCACGTCATAATGAATGGTGCCTTCGTTACACAATGGGCCGCATCGAGACAAACGCATATGGGCGCATTTTGCGTGCACCAGTGCGGTTGCCTAAGTGGCTCGACATCAGCACAATGAAAACAAATTTCCGTCACGCACCACTAATGCATTTTGGGACCACCACGCACCCGGCCCACTCCGACAAAACAGCGCGCGGCTGGGCCACTTAATCTCCGGAGTCCGCAGAGCAGCGTCGGGGGGTCGGTGGGAGCGGGTCGGAAGGACGGCAGCACGGGCGCCTTTCTCCGGAGCACCGGCGGCACCAGCGGCCGACAGTAGGTCAGGGGCCAGCGCGGGCGGCGACGGCTCGGCCGACCGTCACCGAGGCTGACAGCAGGACCGGCGCATTCAGCCTGACACCGGCGCAGGCTCGATAGGTCGCCGCAGCATCCAGGTTTGCGGTCTACACCGGGAGTCATGTCAGCGAGTGTCTCGTCCTGGCGTTTCACGCGTGCCTGGCGGTTGGTAACGAAATGAACTTAACCAGCTTAACGAAATGAACGACAATCAACTGAACCGAAGACTGACGAAGCCAGTCCAGCATATGATGATGCACATGATGTCTCGCGATTTGCCGGAAGCCTGCCTACAACCAGCACCGGTACGGTCCCGAACATTTCAAGGTTCGCGTGCATCGTCCCGCGTTCCTGACCGCTGCGCAGGCGGCGGCAGGGGCCCGGCGCCCGTCGGCAGCTGGCGCCTGGAGCCGCCGCGGCGGTCCAGGCGGGCCGGGACGCCCGGAGCGGCCCCACGCAGGGCCGTCGAGATTCTTCTCCGTCTGACAGCGGTACAAACAAGCCGAGCGGCACGCCGGACCGACAAGTCTACCGCCGCTCGTCCGGTGTCGGTCGGAAGCGAGCGCCAGCTGCCGCCGGGGGGTGTCAGAGGTCAGCCAGCAAAAAACGCACGTCCGAGGCGAGGCCTCAAGTCACGCAGCCACCCGTAAGCGCGCTCCAGAAGGAAAATATTACTTCGGAAACACAAATATCGCGGTGAGTCACGTAACGCACCAGGAAAGTCAGCCTCTACGATCACGTTATCTCTCGGCCTCCACGAAAGTCGCCTCACGAGAGTACAACCGGGGTCAACTTGGAGCACGAACTAAGCAAAAATGTTCAGAATAAGCTCCACCTGGCATGCACGCCATTGCGATGAACTGAGATTGATGTTGTTGTTGAAAGAAGGGAAAGTCAAGATATGCTTGCATCAGATCTTGCAAAAACCAAAACCACAATCCAAATCTGCATGGTCTCCATGAATGCTTGCAGGTAATGCAGACCAAGTTCTTGATGAACAGATAGGTGGGGGCACCCGTTCCGAGTCAGCTTGAAACGAGGTCACCTTTTCAGCCCAACCCCTTCCGGCCGCGCCGCCCCGAATCCTCGGAGGATTACTCCGCCACGCCTCGACGCTGTGATGTCCGCGGCCCGGCGCCAAGAGGGGTCCTCCTCGGCCGGGGAGGCCCTTGTCCGCCAGATGTCGCCACCGGCCGCCCACGGCTCAATCGTGAGGGGGCGCCCGGCCCGGCGACCTGCTGACCCGATCGACGGCGGCCCGCTCACCGCCCCGACCCGACCCGACCCGGAGCGATACTGCAGCCGGGCACGCGCGCCCCCGGCGCCCGGCCAGCCGTCAGAGGGCGGCCGCCGACCGCCAGGGTCGCACCGCCAGCTCCCCGGCGGCGACCGTGGATCAGAGAGCTGCGGCTGGGCGCCGTGTGAAGGTCGTCTGGGGACCATTCATCGACGCATGTACTGGCTTGTCCCATAAGCGTCGCCAACCCTCGAGGAAACCGGGTCCACGGAACGCACCCTGCGCCGGAATCAAGCGCAGATATTTCGACTGAACCCAACGCTCAACACAAGTCTGCTTACACTTCTCAACCGCTGCTTACTGGCACGTGGCGGCTGGTGGGTGGTGAGACAAGTATCCAGCATGGGATATAGTATAGGACACAGCAGCATGGGATCCAGTATCCAGACCCCACGTGAGCCCAGCGCGAGACACCAAAGACAGTCAAACATGACATCCAGACGGGCCATCCAGTCATCCATGACATCCAAACATGACATCCAGTCAACATGTCAGACTGCTGGCGGCGATCCGCCGCAGCCAGCAGTGCTCGAATCCACTGTCTGGGCTGCCAACGGAACGCCACGGACGCATCGCTGGCAGGATGACCATGAATCAGTTACGCTTTGCAGTCATAAACACGATACTTCGCAGCGTCTAACACGTGTCCAGGAACCGACGTCCCTACAGCCTACACACGTCACCACAATATGACCAATGCTGCACAGAACAGCAATATCCCAGACGACATCCTCATAAATCACGCGGCTGATGTCGGTGCCGGAGCGGAGCAGGCCGGCTGACAGCCGCCCCACACGCTACGCTCGCCGCCGCCCCCGCCCCCGTCCGTCGGCCGCGTGTCAGACAGGGAGGCGCGCCCCACCGGCCGCTCGCAGCCCAGCCTGCTGGCATCCCTGCACCAGCCCACAAAAATCGCCTCCCCCGGCAGCCGCGGTGCAGAAGAATGCGGCTGAAGCGACGAGCGCTCTGAGAGACGACCAAGGCCACGGCAGGGAGGGCCGGGACGTGGAGCCCCGGCTGGTGCCGAGCCGCGGCCGACAGCCGAGGCCTGCCACGCCGTAAGGGCGCTCCGCCGGGACTCGTGAAGGCAACGCCGGGCTGTCCGCCCCATGGAGAAGCCGCCGCAAGCCCGTACGCAGGGAAAGACGGACGAGACTGCGCCAGGGGTCGGAGCAGATCGCGCCAACCATCCAGGGCAGGGCGGCGCACCGTGCAAGCAGTCATCCTGCACGCGACGGCGCCTCAGCGTACAGACGCAGGGGCCTCATCCAACACGTCACGGGGGAGGAGGGGGGGGGGGGGGGGGTAGCGGATCCTCCAACCCGCTGTCAGCAGCGTGGGCGGCAGAGTCAGCCTCGCTCACGCCGCAGCGTTCAGTCTTGATCCTCCGGTTCGGACTTTCCAGCCCGATCCGTCAAATGGCGCCATCCGCCGCGCCAGCACGCCCCAGTAACGCCGCCGGCAGGGGGAACGGAACTGCGCCGGGGCTGGGGGCGTGTGGTCGGCGTGAGGCCGGCCGGAGCCCGCCGAGGAGGCCCCCGAGAGGGGTGGGCGCAGCCAGGGGCCCCGCCGCCGCCAGGAGCGGGTTCGGCCGCCGTCCGTCCGCAGCTCTCTGGCTCGTCACCCCGTGGACGCGGCACGGCCGTCGCACCAGACGTCGGGGACCGGCGGCGGCAGACCCCGTCGGCAGCGAGCGTCACTGAAGCCGGGGCGGCGTCGCCGGTCATGCAGGGTACTCAGCTCCGCTGGGGCCGGCACTCAGCGCCCCGTACACAGCCTATCGCCATTCGGCCCGGGCTTACGGCCTGTATCTGTGCATACTTATGTCCATATTAGATTCAGCCGCGGCGTAGCCAGCCGGTTCATCGCAGCGAAATGTGGAACGCCGCACTGAAAATCGCAACAACCTCCTAACAGGTGTAAGTTATTGTCATTGGTTCACCAGATGTTCATAGCTTCTGAACACCGTCGCAGCAACCGCCTCCAAATATTACAAAACGCTGCCGGATTACTTGCAGCGATGCAGTTCAGGTGATTGGCGCTGCAAACTAGCACAGCAGCCAAGGCGATGATCCATCAAAAATCTGCCACAACAATCTAGCATCAGCCTCTCTGGTCTCTAAGCCAAGTCGTGTCACCCGCTGCCAACAGAATGGTGATCGGGCTACCGTTTATCGCAGCTGTTAGCACATCTGTACACAGCCACTCCGCTGAAGGGCGGCGGGCGCCGCCTACCACCAATCGTATCGACTCCGTTGTGTACCGTCCCATTGTTGTTTGCTTGCGCCACGGCGTGTCGTCAGCAGCTCGTTTCAGACGGTGTTTGCGCCGTCAACACGCCGGCCAGCGAGTGACCGAGCTGCTGTGGTAGTCCCGCCACCACCACGGCCGCCGCGCTCGCTCGGTGGCTGCGACAGTCCAGGCCGCTGCGCTCGCTCGGTGGCTGCGACAGTCCAGGCCGCCGCGCTCGCTCGGTGGCCGCGACAGTCTGGGCCACCGCGCTCGCTCGGTGGCCGCGACAGTCTATGCCACCGCGCTCGCTCGGCGCCCGGCACTGCCTTCGCCGCGCGCCATGACAGCTGTCATTTGCCCCGCGGCGGCAGCGGCGGTCCTTTCCGGCGAGCGGCGGCAGAGGGCCACCGCCACCGGTCTGGGCGACACACGCTGGCTGGGCGGCGAGTGCTCGATGGCGGCAAGCGGCGGCCGCGGCCAACTGGGTCAGCAAAACAGCCGAAGGCGACAAACCGCGCGGAGCTGCCGTGTGCCGACGTGTGACGCGACCGGCAGCGGCGGGCCGCGGCTGGCGAGGCGCCGCCGCCGCTCCAGCCACGCCGGCGGCCGATAGAGCCGACAGATGGCGCGGCGGGCGCGGCCAGAGACTGAGAGATGGGCGGCGAGATGCAGCGGCGCGGCGCTAAATCAATAGGATCGTAAAGCCGGGCATGCAAGGAGCGGAGCGACCGCGCAGGGTAATAGTGGGCACACACTGGTGAAGGCGACATGAATGAAAACATCACTATGGAGGGATCATGGAACACACATGCTTCAATGGACAGACAGCAGGGTACACAACACATGATGCATAGGCAAACAAAAAGGCCGATATAAGGATAAGGGTGTTATAAACGAGGCAAGTGTTGACACAGAACGAAGACTTTACAGCCAGCCACTCAGCACGGGCCCAGCCCCGTGACCTACCTGTCACATGGAATGCACAAGGTGGTGGTGTAAACTTTGACCCCGTCCGCCCGCCGTCGATACTGAAACAGGCGGAGCACCACCGTTACGGCCGGGTCTCGCGCGGTCGGCGCCGCGGCCGGGTCGCGGTCTGCACGCCCGGCCTCAGCCAGGGTCGGCCAGGCGGCTCGCAGCGCGCCCGTGCCATATTCGGGACGGTGTTCATCTACACAGCGTCCGGATGGCGTGTCTCCGCAGCCTGAAATGATTTAAAAGAGAAGTGGCAGGAGACGGCCGCTGCTGCGGGCAAAAGCGGACCTGCCTTTCCCCGCCTCGCGACGACATCAAGTGGTTGCATCAGGCGCCGTTCGTCCGTCACGTACGCGATGGGGTTTAAGGGTGCGTCAACCCATGGGGATTCATTCAGCGCCACGAGGCAAGGCATCTGATCCACGGTCCTCGGCCGTGGCTGACCCGCTGACGCAGCCCTTGCACCAGACGGAGCCCTGAGCCGGTCCGTTTCAGGCAGACCTTTTCTCGCGTGCCCCTTCCCTCCCCATCTGCGCCCCACCCGTCGTCCCCGGCAATCCGTGCGCGTGATCCCCGGCCAGGGCGGTGGCGGCAGGTCCACACAGCGACCACACTCGCCGCCAGGCCCGGAGGCCCACCACCGCGATTAACTAGCCGCGAACTGAATGACAATCAGAGGAACAGATTGGCGAAATCCCTCTCCCTCGCGACGCCCCCCGCATGGCGCGGCCCACACGGGTGGTGGGACGGGCCGCACCCGTCGGGCGGAGGAGGCCCGGCCGGACCGCCGCCGCCGGCCGGTGAAAGGTCGCGCCACTCCGCCGCGGGTCGACCGCACCACCATCGCCCCGGCGGACGCCACCCGGCCGCGCCGGACGCGCCGCTCCAATGAGTTCAGCGTGCGCGCCCGAGCTTCGTGGTCAGGCACCCCCGGGGGAGGAGTCGGTCGATTCATCGCTAAATCCCCGGGATAACCCATCCAGACACACGGCAATCCTTTCACGGAAGAGAGTGCGACCGAGGCCAATCTCGTGGCGCGGCGGCGCCCGCAGCCCACTGGTACACAGCTGCAGTCAGCTGTACACCCGGCTCCAGAGCACGCACAGCGGGCATCTCAGTACGACACGCACTCGGCCGTGTGACATAAATAAAGTTAGCAATAAAAACACTACAACAGCGGTGAATTCCGAGCAATAACGGAGCAGTAATTCATACTCAGCGCCAACGGTACGTACATCCGATGAGAGAACTTGTCTCACTGTCACGATGGTAGGTTACAGTGAGGAGCAATGGCCCAGGATCGGGACTGGGGAACACCATCAGCTGCCGAGAATGACCATTTAATGTCGGGGAACTATTCGAGCCTCAGCTCACGCCACTCCGACGCAACAAAGATTTTCCGGTGACGTCACACAGACATTGTAGCACTTGACAACAAATACCCTTGCCGATGTCACATTTTTAATCGATGCCATCACTGATGACCTGGGCAAAGGAACAATGACGAGTCCAGCCACGAACGCCTGTGCATTACTCGATGCCGCCAGCGACTTCACCTTTCGAACCACGGAGCACAGACAACACCGAATCAAACGACATGCAAATACATGTCGACCATGCCCTCCCCTACGTCTCGTCCCGCGACCAACAGCCTAAGAATTGCGCCATGCCTGTGACTCATGCCGCCATCCGCGGACACGTGCAAAGAACCCGGCTACGTATGACGCAACAGCTACATTAGTAATTCATAAGTTTTCCACATCACACCCTTTCTATGTAACAGCAATTATGCCTCAGCGGGATCACTCAGAGGAATACATGACATCCGAAGGTTCACTTCACGAAAGTTCACCGATTTTTTCCAGAATGGGCTGCAAATGGTGCTCACGAAGGTAAGTTGTCATTATAACAAGTACTCACTCCGCCGTAACAAATGAATAATAATGTAATGAAATGGCGGATTTTACAATAGGCATGTCGCGCGCCCGTCTCCCACCGAGCGCATTTTAGACCAAAACTTCGCGGAGGCATTACGGCATGAAGAGCGAGAATCGGCCAATAACAAATTCATCGCATATATCGGGAGCGTCGGAGCTTTCTTCGTACATAACTAAAACCTAGTCGTTGAATCTGCCTATAGCCTTGGGTCTGCCATTCAGTCCACTAAGCAAGTGAAAAAACAGCGTGGGGTGCAGTCGCACGCCGTTCAACCCAGTGCGAATGAAGCTCACGACAGCCTACAATGACACCTACATGAATCCGTAGGATGTCGTGGACATGACGACATTATCCCGCCTGTCTCTGAGGTGCTCGAAGAACACAGGGCCTCCAAATCTCCGGGGGAAAGTGAAACCAGTACTGCAAGCAAGTGCAGCGGCACTGCCTTTCCGCGATTTTGAAACAATGCTGCCCATAGATCGAGATCGCCCCTCCGCTGCCGTGTTTACCCACCGCTGAAAGCAGCGAGTTACAAAATCGTCCCAATTAAGCCGCATGCACCGTTAGATGCAGAAATGTGCCACCGCATTCGGTACTGTTGCAAGCAACCCCACTTCAGCAGAAGCCTGTAAGCCAGAGGCCACCTGCTGGAAGGGCTCCAAACTTCAAAGCGATTTGACGCAACGACGACGACGTGCCGTTATGCTCAGAAGCATGCACTGAAAGTCGTCGCATACACCGGGCTTCTCTTCGATGACGAGGCACCGGGCGCCGCTTTGAATAAGCCCTCTGATGGAGCGTGACGGCGGCGCGCAGGCCCCGCTCGGCCTTTTGCAGTAGCTGTGTTCGGCCCCGGCGGCCTCCGCTGAGCCGGCGCCCATCACCCGATCTGGTGCGCCCGCCGCCGAGGGCACGCGTTACCCCACAGGCCGTCAGCACGTGGGCCGGCGCGTTGGACCGTGACGCGCATGCCGTGCCCGGCAGCTTAACGAACTGACCCGCCGCAGCGGTGCCGCGACCGGCGCGTGGGGCGCATCGAGCCGCCCCGGCCGCCGGCTCAGGAACAGAGTGGCCACCGGCCCGGCCGCTTCCCCGCCGCTGCTGGCCAACGCGCGGCGTGACCACAGCCAGGACCACTTCCAATCGCCCAGCGCGCCGTTGGGAGGTAGCGGTGGCCTGTGCTGGCGTTTTCGCACCGCTGCCCAGACGGTCGGGCGCCTCCCTCGGCTGAAGACCGCGGTGGCCAATGCAGCTGGCGTGTTACGAGATGTTATCCCGGCGCGCTCCCGAGGCCTGACGGAGCTCATCTCCTGCCGCCACCGTCACTCCAGGCGCGTCCCACGGTCAGCACACACGCCCGGTACACGGGCAGAGCGCCCGGCCGGCGGCGCTGGAAGCGGCCGGGCGACGCCAGCAGGACAGAGGTTCGGCAGGACTACAGCGGGCCACACGAAAGAAGACCACGCTCGCATTACATTTGAGAAGACTCACGCTACGCTGAACTGGCCGAAAAAAAAAACAATTACTAGGGCGACGAAGAGATTTAACTGAAATGCGGGGCAAGTCGAGCTGGACCGGGCAGCCTAGGCCAGAGGACAACGTCGGCGTCTTCTGGGCCCACGGTACGGATGACTGGACCAGAGACCATATTTGACGGGTCCCGGCTGCAGACCCGCCGGGCCCGACTGCAGAGACCCGGCCCGGCGGACGGGTACAGCGGCCAGCAGAGTGCAGCCTCCCGATGACGGACGGCTGACCGACGGAGCAGGCAGGGCGCTCCCTCTGCCTGCCGCCACACCGACGGCCGGCTGGCCGACAGAGCAGGCAGGGCGCTCCCTCAGCCTGCCGCCACACCGACGGCCGGCTGACCGACGGAGCAGGCAGGGCGCTCCCTCAGCCTCCCGCCACACCGACGGCTGGCTGGCCGACAGAGCAGGCAGGGCGCTCCCTCAGCCTGCTGCCACACCGACGGCCGGCTGACCGACAGAGCAGGCAGGGCGCCCCCTCTGCTTGCCGCCACACCGACGGCCGGCTGACCGACAGAGCAGGCAGGGCGCTCCCTCTACCTGCCGCCGCACCGACGGCGCCGGCAAGGCCACTCATGGACACTGACGACCGTAAAAACACCGCAAACCGCCAACAATCCACGGCGCATCTGCGACTTAGCCGCTGATGGCGATGATGGCATTGCCAGCGGGATTAGCGCCGCGCGGGCCGCCGGGGCCGTCCCCGGGGCGCGACGGCGAGAGCCGCGGTTTTTGGCCGAAACACGCCGCCGCGTCACAGGGCCCAGTTCGGATAGCGGCGCTGCTGATCGTCCGCAGCGCCGTCTCCAAGAGTCGAGGCGGCAAACAATCTATCGTGCCGTCTTCAAGAGTCCAGGCGGCAAACAATCTACCATGCCGTCTCCAAGAGTCCAGGCGGCAAACAATATATCATGCCGTCTTCAAGAGCTCATGCATTACGCCCATCAGTCACCACAACGTAAGTTGCGTTTTATGCATTCAGCTCCTCCTTTCACGGAATTTATGATTATTGAGTGTTTTTAATCGGCCTTTCGACCGGCGAACAGCGGTTTGATCCCCTGACGAAGGTTACCGCCACACTGATGCTTGTCTGAGCCCTTCCGCGGGTGTGTGGCCGCCGGGCTGCCTTGAACGTCGCCGCGTTAAAGTCCATACCTTCCAGCTGCACTTAGTGAGGCCGTTATTCGATAGCCGAACACCCGGTTGATCGGTCGACTTGGCCCCGCCCCAGCCCGCTGGGCCCAACCCGTCGAGGCCAGGACATGACAAGAACACAGCATCACCCACGTGTCCGAGACTGATGCACCAGATAGATAGGGACGAAGCGCCCCGGCCGTGTCGTCACGAGGTGAATATGACACCTGCGGGCACGCCAGTCACATCTGGGGCGGCCGGAGAACATGCAGAAGCAGTTTTTCAAGGTTGCTCCTCGCAAGACAGTCCGGACTTCAAGGACATTGCAAGAAGAGAAACGCAAGCGCGGAAGCCAAAAATGGCGACGTGGGTGGCTGGCACGGCCAGACCGCCGTCTAGCTATGACTGCCATCTCGTCACATACTCGCTGCCAGGACAGCCCACACTGTGCTGGCAAACGCGTCACCGGCAAACGAAACGACGCCCAGAGAGCCGCCCCCATAGCCGACAAACGGCGGCCAGTTCCACAACACGTCACGTTTCCGAGTCGCGTTCCGGTCTGATCCGCCGGGTGACATCACGCGGTCCGTCCATCTGGTGACGAGGCCGGCCACCGGCCTGCTGCACCGCTGAGCGGTCGACTGTCGGACCGGAGCAGCTCGTGACCAGTGTGACGGGCGCGGCACGGCCCGCTCGGCCGCCACACTGGCGACCGCTCCGACTGCCGGCGAGCGAGCGAGGCGCTTCTCCTGCGCGGCGGCGCCCGGTCACGCCGCTGGGGCGCGCTGTCCGGCTGCCGGGGACGCGGCTGGACCCCCGCGGGCGCCGCTCGGTCCCGCCATCCGCCGGCGGCCCTGGGGCCTCCGTCACGGGCGGTACACGGAGCACCGCGTCGGGCGCGCCGCCGCGAGGGGCCGGATACTACCCCCCCCCCCCCCCCCCCCTGCTGGTTCGGCTCACAACTGGCACGACCCAGCCTCCACAAGCCCAGCTCAGCTGTTGATGGAGAGGGGTTTCCTCCGAGACGGCGCCACCCTCCCCCGGTCCACTTACCTCACCGCAAGAGGCGGACCTGGGGCACAGTGCGACGGCACACCGCACGGTGGGCTAATGCGTCTTACTTGAAGAAGCGGTTACAGACCTACGCAGCAATGATCTTTGTGCTCAGTGAGAATTCCTCGCGCGGTTACCGTGTACCGTTGTTCTGCTTCTGACACTGCCTGCTTGGTCGACAGCCCTTACGATTTTTATTTGGTTTTTATACGCTCCTTACTAATGAAATTCAACAAACAAGTTCGTAGTATCAGATGACTTAATCCACAAAAGTGGCGTTCCTGCAGTTTTTCTTAAACCACAAAAAAGGAGAAGCGCTTGTCAAACCCATCAGATTGCGCCAGCATAGCATACAATGGGCGGAGGCCAAACGCCGCGGGAAGATGATCTGATATATTTGTCATTTCTGGTGTCACCACCACTTGATGACGCTGCAATGCTCCCTCAGCATCGCTGACGCACGGTGTTCACACGTGTCGTGTCCGACTGGCCGACCCAACGCTGCGCTGCCGCTCCCGCTCCCTCCCTCTCCTCACTTCTGCCGTACCATAGCGGGCGGGTCAACAGACGCCCGCCGCACCTGCTGGTTACAGCTCCTTCCTCCAATCAGCCATTCTTGAGGGACGCACAGACCCGCTTCCCCCTCCCCCCCCCCCCCCCCCCCCCATTAGTGTGCCTACAGGCTTCTACGGTGCCGAACCGGACGTGTCCTGACGCGCAATCCCCCTATCCCCTCTCCCCTCCTCATTTCCCGTACCTGACCGGGGTACGAACTCCCACACCTTCGGCACCTGGTGAGCCCAGACCTCCCCCCCCCCCCCCCCCGCCTAATCCCGCGAGTCTTACATGACGGGCCCACGGATCTGCCCATCAGCACAGCTGGAGGCGCGCGCAACTCCGCACAAGTCTCACCTGGTGGGCCCACTCGGGCGCCCGGTTGAGCTCCGGCTGCTCCAGACCGCCAGTGGGGTCCGTGGTGCCGCACGTCTGGCAGCGCGCGCACTCCACGCAGTGCCACCGGCCGGTCGGCACCCGCCGCAGGCCCACGCAGTAGATGTGGTACCTGCCCGGCGTGGAGCACCGCCGTCAGCACGGCTCCGGCCGCCGCGGCACAGGCCGGCGCACACTGACCGGCCCAATCTCGGGCAAGCTGGCATAGCTGTCGGGTGTGGTTCCGCCCGAGTTTGTCCCGTATCATTTGTTCCCGGACCACGAAATGAGACTGTACCATACATGCGGCCAGGACACCATCCGTTCCATCCAACCAGCCGCGTCTCCTCCCGTCTGCGTGCCCGCTGACCCCTGTCTGCATCAGTCAGCGCTGCCCGCCGCCGGCGCTCGCTCACCCTCTGTCGCAGAAGTCGCAGAAGATCATCTTGTCCTCGTCGTCGGCCGATCCGCAGGTCATGCACGTCTTGCAGTCCATGCACTGCCAGGGGTAGGCTCTCAGCCGAGCCACCATCTCCGTGGACAGCTCCAGACACTGCGGGTGTCCGGACGAGTCGCACCTGGGGAGCGCAGGCACAGCGGTCAGCACCGGCCGCTCGGGTACACCTGGTGGGCAGTCAGAGGCCGCCGCCCGTCCCTAGCGCTACAACGGCACCCGTCCCACGGGCAACGCCTACAGAAACGGTGTGACGCCAGTGACTGCTTACAGCGTGTGCGAGCGCGAGAGCTGAATGAACGCCAACCAGCTCCGATCATCAGCCCCGGGCCGCTAGCTGTTTCGCCACGGCACACAGTTCCACCATTATTACGCATGAACGCGTTTGGGCCGCGGCTTCCGCAAGTGGTCTTGCGCCATCCGAGCCCCTCGCAGGAAGGTGGGTGGTGCTGACGTGACACCAGTGCAATGATCGACAGAAATTAGCCCTGCGGATGCCGCCGTGGGTATTTTGTCTTTGAACAGACGGCGCTCGACTTTAAAAGATGGTGGGAAATCGATCGCAATCCGGCCACAGGCGAACAAATGAGACGCACGGCTTACGCCGTATATCTCCGATGATAATCACGGGACCCGTCGGCTCGTTTAGCGCGAACCTCGGCCGGTCATCGGCACGGATCGGCACGGATCGGCACGACGCTCGCCGACGAGATCTCGCGCCAATCTGTCCCCAGATCCAGATCTGGGGACAGATTGACAGAGATATGACCGCTTCTCCCACGGCTCCACGCGGCTCCCGCCATGACGGAGCAGAACTCCGCCGCGGCGAGCACACAAGGTCGGACGGCCTCCGGTCGCTATGGAGCACTGGGCGCGTCACCACATACACACACACACACACGTCCCGCGGCCGCTCGGGTCAAGCTCAGGCACCGCACGGCTCCCTCGCAGACCGGCGACTCACTTGGAACAGTGCAGCAGCTGTTTGCCGGACTTGGTGCCGCTGCACACGCGGCAGACGGCGCCGGGCCGCGCCTGCGGGTCCGGCTGCGACTCCAGCTCACTCTGGGTGTCCTCCGTCTGGGAGCTGTCGCCGCTGGACGAGCTGCCGGTCAGGTCAGGTCAGGTCACCAGAGGCGCTCCGTCCAGGCGCTGGACGAGCTGCCAGTCAAGTCAGGTCGGGGCAGGTCGGGACATCGGGGGCACTCCGTTGTGAGCCACCTAAGCTGGTTGTACAGCGGGTCAGCCAGCTCCCGTGTCCACCACCACATACCAGCGAGCTTCAGCAGGGCCCGGGTCAGCTTTTCCCCGGGTCAGCACGTACGCAAGTGTGCGCAGGAGTGCGGTTCGGTCGCTAACCTAAGCCTGTAATGCCCTGGTGTCACAGGTCGTGCACTGTACTAATATGCTGACAATTTGCACAGGATTACCGCTAAACACAGCGTTTGAAGAAGAAGCAAGGCCGTCGAAGGTGCAGCCAGTCTCATGCTGGTCTGAGGCGTCCTGCGATACCAGGCCGTCCGTTAAAGCTCACTCGACTGAGAAAGCGCCCCTCGAGTGAGCTATGACGTTGGAGGGATTGAAGGAAGATATGATCACGGCGTGTAAGAAAAAACACAAACAGCCGCGCAGAAAGAATCTGGGCCAGTGCGCCGGTTGGCGGCTATAAAACAGAAGTCTTCATTCCATCCCAAAAAAGAGCGCTTGGTGGTAGACGCCAACAATGGCGAACAGTCAAAGGAGGTTACGTGTGAACATAGGCAGCTGTCATCCCTCGCACGATCTGTGAACCCGCCCGGTTACACCGTACGCAAAAGGAACGTTGCAAAGTGTGAGGGCTTGCAGTAATTCTGTGGGGCACTCGGGTGTGTAACTCGGGCTTTATCAAATCGACCATGATGGCTGGATCTACAAAACATGTGCGCTACACAACCTACCCCCAATAAAATGTCCATAAATCCCAGCACGGCAAAACCCCAATCGTCCAGGCACTTTACCTTGACCAATTGGACATGACAAAGATTTCTACGACAATCGTGACACTCGTAATGTCCCGGCCGAAGAAGATCCGTGAACAATGGGCTCTGTAGCAGCGCGCTAGTAACCAAGTGAGACATTGCGCAAGCCTCCAGTGAGTATCCAGCCAGCATTTCCCAAGGGATTGGCCTTGCCACGCTACCTGGAAGGACGAAATCATGACAATCCTGAGAGGACAATCTCAGCACTAACCCACGGTCGACAATTGGCTGTTGCGGGAAAGCAAGGCCATCAAGGTCCGTGCTCCACACCAACAGCGAGCATCCGGCACCCGCCGCAACGGCGGCGTCCCGCGTGGGCCGTGCTCCGGCCCGGTGCCGGGGTGTCGGGCCCCCCTGACCACACGGCGACAGCTGGTCGCGCTGCAGCGCCAGGCCCGCTCCGCAGCGGGAGCGACACCGCGCGGCGGGCCGGCGCCGCGCCCGTTCCCACGGCCCGCGCTCGCCGCATGGATCCTGCATGAATGGCGATGACGTCGATAACCCAGAAAGCGGACGCCTCAGCTCGCGGCAAAGCCCCGCGCCGCGCACGGCAGCCGATTTTTCGCGCGAGGTTTGTGCGCGTGCAGACTCTGCCGCGAGGCGGCGCCACTGCCGCCGGGGCCGCCACTGCTCGGACCCGCTGCAGTCGGGTGACGCTGGCTCGGGCGAGGATGCCGCGGCAGGATTCCCGCGCACTCCACCAGCCGGGCTCGGTCAGGCCGGTGGTCCAGCTTATCAGGGCTCCAAGGCACGGCGGTGTGTCCCCCTCGGTGCGATGATCAGCCGAGCCGGAGCGCTCCGCGGTCGGTCCGGCGGCCGCATCGGCTTGTGCGGTGCTGGCGAACGCATGTCTTCCCGCTGCCCCTGGCTGTTTACTTGGTGAGCGGCGGCGGCGGCACGCTTACCACCGCTCTTGAAAGGCGGGCGTCTTGCAACGCTACGGTCAAGGTACACATGTAAAGAGTACTGCGCGTGCCGTTTATTGCGATATGTAGGCCACACGATTCTTTCCACTTCTCTAGCAATCCCAAACCTGCATCACACGTACTGCGTTCAGCGCCGGGGCAGCCGGCACGCATCGCACCCTGCACCAAGACCTCTACTGTGGACAGCCGCCTCCGGAGTGACAGAGAGTGGGACGGCGGCGTCCCCCTGCCCAACCCCTGGCGTCGGCCAGCTCGGCTCCCGCCAGCGCGCCGAGCGCCGCAGAGCCGCCCTTGTTCATCGTCAGCGCCAGAGCGACGCGGCCGCGGCGAGACCGTGCGCGCGTGCGGGCGCGCGAGGGCCGGCTGCGGTGCTGTGGCGGCAGCGGCGGCGGAGGCGGCGGCGGCTAGCGGCGGCCTGGCGGCGGAGCCTCCCGGGCAGGGGCCCGGGCCCGGGCGACGGGCCGGCTGAAACAGCGAGCCCGCGTCAGGGCGAGGCCGACCGCTGGCGAGACGGCGGCCACCCGCCGGCCGCTGCGCCACGCCGAGCCGGCGGCGACCGAGCCACAGAGGGAGAGAGAGAGAGAAACATAGAGAGATAGCGTGCAGCCACATGCTACAACACAACAGGCGGTGCAGAGAGGAGGTCAGAGGTGCAGAAAAAAACGAGCAGAGCACGTCTAGAAGTAACAGAAAGAGGTGAACGGTGCTAAACGTCTAGAAGTGAAGGCCACGGGGCCTTACGAGCACGAGGTGATGCCACGGGGCCGCGCCCTACCGCCGGAAGAGGAGCACCTTGAGTAAGCCTTCCAGCGCGGCCGCCGGAGGGCCCCTGATCCTCTGAGGCGGTACCTTCTCGCCAAATCCCTCCTCGCCGTACCCGCCCCGCTCAGCACCCAACCCCGGGGCCACTGCGTCAGCCGCGACGGCCGCGGCGGCCTCAGGCGAACAAGACGGACTCAGGCTGTGTAGCGACCGCTGGCGCCCCCTCCGGGGCCGGGCGGACGGTCGGCACGAGGCCTCGGCGCCAGTGGCAGGGAGTGATACAGGATGCGGGGACGTCTCTCGGCCGAGCGCGTGACTATGTGATGAGAAGGGATCGGGGGCATTTCCAACGCCAGGCGGTGCCAAAGAGGGCCGTGTGCTTGATAACGGTACCGCATCACATTCTTGAAACGGTTCCAATCATCTGAATGTTTACCATGTGGCGATATACCCGCATGAGTTACTGTTAAACAAGGCCTGACTGACGACTTATTGAGAAAGAGCGATTCCACAGATGAGCCTTTGAAATTGGATTTTCTCCAACACAGGCAGATAACATCGCATTTGCATATGTCGCCATTGTCGTTTTACCCCACCCACTCGCCGCGTCCATTCCTAGCGTGGTCTGAATCGCGTCCCCAACTGCACACTGGCCGCTGTGAAGGCGAAATTCCGTGACAGACGTTCCGAAAGTTCTCCGCTCTCCTGCCCAGCCTTGGCACGGCTTTTCTTGGGGCTGAAGTCGCACGCCATGTGCCGACCACTCCAACGGGGTCAGTTGGTCGACGCTGGGCCAAAGCTGCTGTGTCACGCGTCACGAGCCCCAGCGCCAGCCACGGCTAACCTTGTCGCTGATAAGCCCAGACTTTGTTTCACCCCCTCCCCTCCCTCCTCCGGCCAGCCACAGCGGCTTTGCTCGGTGGCGGCACTCAGTCTCACGCTGCATCCAATACTGCTACGAGGGCCCCACGCGCGCCGAGGCCGCAGCCCGGCACCTCGCCGGACCTGCCCTTGGCCCTTCCAGGTGACCGGTTACCTGGCGGTCGAGTCATTCCTTCGGGGAATGACTCGACTCCAATCGCTGCCATCGTTCCAGCTTAACTGCCTGAGGCTGCAGCCAGCCGCTGTCACCAGTCACCTGCGCCGGTGTCTGCCGTGCTCGGCGGTGACCTGGACGCCGCCGACCGCTGCCGGGGGCCGCCCGCCGCTCGAGTCCGCCCGCCCGGCGGCTGATTACCTGGACGCCGCCACCCACTGCCGGCGGCCGCCCGCCGCTCGAGTCCGCCCGCCCGGCGGCTGGTTACCTGGACGCCGCCGCCCGCTGCCGGCGGCCGCCCGCCGCTCGAGTCCGCCCGCCCGGTGGCTGGTTACCTGGAGCCGTCGGAGCTGGAGTCCCCCGACTCGGAGTCGGAGCCGTCCGAGCCCAGCTCCTCCATCGGCCGCGTGCCCATCACTGTGTTGAGCGGCAGGTACTTGAGGTCGTTGCTCGAGTACCTGCCCGGCAGAGACACGGGCGCGTTAGGGAGCGCCGCCGGACGGTGATTTGCGCCTGTAGACACAAGGCTAAAGAAACAATCGTGCTCCATCTGAGCGCCAGTCATGCCGGCGCTGGTGAAGGGACGAGTTATTCCGCGGTGGCAGCATGCGCCCAGCTCCGGCTGCCACCTCAACAGTCCCTGGTCTGAGCCCTGACATTACCCTCGCAGTTCACTGCCTCGTTAAAACCTAGGCAGTTCGTCTTAGCGAGTCCCCACACCGTCTTCCAGACGACAGTGCCCGCAGACACCGACCGTACCGTCACGTCCGTATACCACGTCCAACACCAACATTTACACCGCATACCACACGCGCATCTCAAAAAAGTCCCGTTGCCTTCTTCACCCACGTGCCGGGACATCACCGCATCAGACTCTCAAAGGCATCAACGCACCACCACAGCCCCAGACAACACGTGTGCGCGGCGCCCGGATAGCGCAATCTGTCCATGGCCACCGCCGGCGCCAGAGCCAGCGCCAACGCCCACCTGCGGAAGTAGTCTGTGAACTGTCCGGGCAGCACGGCCACCGGGTAGTTGCCGAGCCGGGCGGCGCCGGGCCGTGCCGGCCGCCGCCGCTGCGGGTAGTGCACCGTAAACGTCTGCAGGTCGAACGAGGCGCGCCGCTCCTCGCGCCGGTCCCGGTTCAGCTGCGCGTTCCAGGCGGCCGCCTGTCGCGCCGCCTGCCGCACGAACGCCTGCAGGCGGTTCTTCTCCACCTCGGCCGGCGTGTAGCTCGCTGTGGGGGACGGCGAACAGTAAGGGAACGGACGCGCCCAGACGAGACACGCGCGCAGGGGCTGCGAGGAGCCGTCACCACCCATGAACGCGTGATGTGTACACACCTGAGAACGCACGACTTCGACATGTCCTCCACTCCAAGCCGACCACCCACTATGCTGCGCGATCCTACAGCCACGCTTCCACGCTCACATCGACGAGAAGAGAAACAAATTGTCACAAAGAGCATCAAAACATAACAGATCATCACCGCAGGCATACTGCCAGCACAAACCACGCCGTGAGCCGACCACGGACTGAGATAGACCCGGCAGCCGCGCGGGGCGCGTTTCTTCGTCTGGCGCGTCCAGTACTTACCCTGGGCCTTCTGCACCTCGAGCACCTTGCGCTCTTCGAGCAGGCGGCGGAACTCCTCGTACTTGTCCGGGAAGTCCTGGAAGAGCACGTCCATGACATCGGCGCTGCGCAGCGCCGTCAGGCCCAGGTTGGCTTGCGTCGCTGACACGGCCCGCTGCTCCAGCAGGAAGGCCCGCTCCTCCGCCTCCACCGGCCGCCGCGCCAGGTCTGCCGGTGTAAGGTCAGGTCAGATCGAGCCAGCACCTAGCTCCCCGCACAGGTATGCGGCGTCACGCCAGCCGGGTCAGGTCAGCACTGGGCGCGCTCCATCCGGCCTGTTGACGGGCGGGGAGGGCCGGAGTGCGACAATACTCGCGACACAGTGGCGGACGTGATCGAACGCTCGTCAGGAGCGGCGCTGAACTGGACGGGAACGGACCGCCGACAGCGGCGCAGCGGACATGGCCGGACGCTCGCCAGGAACCGCACCGGACCGGACGGGCAAGGACAGGCGACAGCGGCGCGGCGGACATGACCGAACGCTCGCCAGGAGCCGCACCGGACCGGACGGGCACGGACCAGCGACAGCGGCGCAGCAGACAAACCGAACTGAGACGCTGCAACAGCCACTCCTTTCGACAACAGCACACAGCTTCAGCACGACAAGAATAATGCATCGTTCACGCCCGGCTCCAAGGTAGCCACTGGCCTGCATCGCGCGCATGGCGACGACAGCATCACCAAACTGACGCCTGCGATGTCGATCGCCCGGTGGTCGGCGGTGCCGGTCCGCCGCAGCGGGCCCAGCAGACTGGCGCGTGTCACGCGGCTCCACTGACCCGGGTACCGGCGCCGGAAGGAGACCAGGTCCAGGAAGGAGGACACCTGCTCTTGCAGCATGTACATCTCGGCCAGCGGGTCGTCGCGCGGCCAGCGGTACTCCAGCAGCTGGTCGGCCGGCAGCGGCTGCTGACTGCGGACGACACGGCGTCGTCAGCGGTCAGCCGGCACGCCACCGGACGGTGTCGGACTGGGCGTGCTGTTACACCGGGACGATGAGGACGCGCAACGAATCAACGATTCGTGACGGAAGGTTAAGCCGCGATACTGTGACAAACAGTGAATCGATGCGATGAAACGAAGCGAAAACAAGGAGAGGCAGAGAAAAGGCCAGGTGCATCAGACAAGTTCACACAACAAAGCACAACAATAATCATCACAAGCATCTGGCAACGTTTTAAATGCCTCGAAAAAGCATTGACGATCAACCAAGTTCCTTAAACAGAATCCCGCACGAATGGTGCAATCTGGCACGCCTCCGCTGCCTGCTAGGTGAACACAGCTGGCACGGTGCGGCCCACCTGCTCAGGTCGAAAATCTCGCTGCGCGCCTTGCGGGTGCCGCCGGCCGAGCGGACGCTGCTCTGCGAGTCCTCGTCCACCATCGGCGGTGGCGGCGGTGGCTGTGGCGGCGGCGGCGCCGGTGGCTCCGCGCTCGCCGCCGTCTGCTCCTGCTCCACCGCCGGCGGTGGCGACGGCTCGGCGCTCTCGGGGGCCGGCTGCGACCGTTCGGGCGCAGCCGGCTCCTCGGGTGGCGGCGGCGGCGACGACGACGGCGACTGCGTCGGCGGTGGGGACGGCGCCTGCGGCGGAGACGGCTCCGGAGGCGGGGAAGGGGACTGCGCCGGCGGCGGCGACTGCGCCGGCGGCGGCGACTGCGCCGGCGGCGGCGACGGCGCCGGCGGGCGCGGTGGCGACGGCTGAGCGTCGTCGGCGTCCATCATAGCGTTGTCGTCGGCTGGCGGCAGTGGCGCCACCTCCGGCGGCTCGGCCCGCTCACCGCGCTTCTTGCGCTTCTTGCGCTTCGGCGACTCCGGCAGCCCGCGCTTGGACGGCTTCGGAGGCTTCGGGGGCTTCGGCGGCTTCGGCGGCTTCGGCGGCTCCGGCAGCTCGCGCCTGGACGGTTTGGGCGGCTCCGGAGGCTCCGCCGGCGGCTCCGGGGGAGGCTGCACAAACTTGGGCTTTGGTCCGCGTGGCTTGGCGGGTGTGCCGTCTATCAAAGCAGAACAGCACAAGGTCAAAGGCTGGTTCTGGCCGAGATCAGAGATCACTGGGAGCAAAACACGAAGTCAAGAACACCTGTCCGGATAAAGTATGGTCGTGTGTTCACATCCACAGCCATATCAGCATATCTTGGCAACAGGGGTTCAGATATACAATTGCATATTGCATTGATAACAAGGTAAACCGCAGGTGAGCACACAAACTATAGACCTAAGTCTTAATCTTATGTCTTAGCCTTGCCAATTAACAAACTCCACACGTTACTAATCAATGTCCCAGCATTTTCAACACTAGCACAGCGACAGCCAATGGCAAGCCAACATTCATGCCGCACCCGGCATGCTATGTAGCAGCATCGCTCCGTTGCACTGGGATGCGTCACATATGTGCCAAACCAGCTTTAGATACGTTTGAACAAAGGCAAAACCATGTTATCCACAAGAAACTTTCAAGACACAGTCTCCTAACGTTTCAGCCTCTTGGTATTACCACGAATTCTGTCCTTGGAACAATGGTGTGTCAGATACTGCGATCTGCGAAAACTAGTTATTACGCTAAAAAATAAACATGAGCCCATGATAAGAAATGCAATGCCTCGAATATCGCCGACCGATTAACACAATGTACGGCGCATGGACACCGGAGGCCAACAACGCATCCGACCACGACTGACCTTTTTTCAGTCGGATTTTCTTGATCGGTGGCTGCTCGCCGACGGCGTCGCTGGAGTCGGTGGACACCTGCCAGACGCTCACCTCCGGCTTCTCCTCGGCCTCGACCGGCTCCGTCTTCGGCACCTTCAGCGCCGGGGCCTCGGCCTGCGTGTCGGCTACCGGGATCTTCCGCTTCCTGCCCGGCTTGCCTTTCGCGGGCGTCGGCTGCGGCGCCGGCGGCGCCCTCTCTTTAGCCGCCGCGCGCGCCCTGGTCTTCTCCTCGCCGACGGAGACGCTGCGCGCGCGCTCGCTGGCCAGCTGCGCCCTAGCGTCCTGCAGGCGGCGGCGCTCCATCTCCTGGCGCTCGTCCTCCGAGAGCTTCTTCTTGCGCGGCCGGCCGCTCTTCCGCACGGGCAGGTCCGCCGCCGGCGGGGCGACCGGCGGAGCAGCCGCTGCTGGAGCGGCGGCGGCGGCGGCGGCAGAGCGTCCGGCCGTCGCAGCGGAGGCCGCTGCGGCGGCCGGAGCGGTGCTTGACGCGCGCGCAGGGAGGCCCGCGGCCGCCGGGAGAGCGGGTTCCGGGCGCGGATGCTTACGCGGCCGGCCCCGCTTACGCTTGACAGGCACAGCGGCGGCGGCGGCAGCGGCGGCGTCCGGCGCCGACACCGAGCCGTCGGAACCGGCTGGTGTGGCGTCCGATACGACGGGAGTGGCGTCCGAGTCGATGGGCGTGGCGCCGGCGTCGGTCGCCGGCGCCACGCCCGTCGCCGCGTCGGCGGGGTCCATCTCCTCGCGCTCGGCCGGCACCGCCACGCGGCTAAGGCGCACCACCGCCGCCGGCGCCGTCTCCTGCAGAAAGGCGTCGATGGCGGCGATGCCCTCGCTGTCGCGCGAGGTTTGGCGGCGCGTACGGCCGCTTGAGGCCGCCTCCTCGAGCGGGACGCCGCGACGCGGCGAGCGCGCCGACTCGGACCGCGGCGAGCGCGCCGTGTCGGATCTCGGCGAGCGCGCCGTGTCGGAGCGCGGCGAGCGTGCCGACTCGCGGCGCGGCGAGCGGCCCGTCTCGCCGGCCGCCTTGGCCGGCCGGGGCGAGCCGGGCGGTCCCAGGTCGCGGGCCGACTGGCGGCGCGGTCGTCCGGCGGCGCCTGGCGACCGGGAGCCGGCGTCGGCGGCCGCTGCCGCGTCCGGCGGCAGCATCTCCTCCTGCGTGTCCGCAGCGGTGGTGTCTGAGGCGGCCAGCCGCAGCGGCGGCCGCGTCAGGCTCCATCTCATGGTCTTTAGAGGTCCGTTCTGTGGCGGCTGTCGGGACCATGTCTTGCGCCTCTTCCATCTCTTCCACAGCGTCTGAAGATTTGGCATCAGCTGCAGGAGGTCGGCCCGACAGCTCAGCGGCCTCTGCCGACTTTGTCGCTGGTGGCTCTTCCAGTGCGTCGGCGTCACTCGCGTGTTTCGGCACACCGCCAGTAGTATCCACAACTTCGCCCATTGCAGCGACGCATTCCGATGGGCCTACGCCCTCGCGAGGAGCCTTGTCCGGCGCTGGCGGTTTGTTCTCCGCTCCGTCGCGGCTCGCACCCTGAGAGTCTACCGCGTCCCAGAGGGCGTCCGCGTCCGGCCGAGAACCTCCCCGCGCACATTTGCTCTCGGGCGCTTCCGTTGGGTCAGAGGTCACCACGACGACAGGCGGTGCGCCACTGGTGGCGCCACTCTCCGCCTGCTGAACCCCGCAGATCTCGGGCGTGGCGCTCGCTACCGCCGGCTGCTCGGCTGGCGGCTTCGTGGCGGACTCTGTCGCCCTGGTCGGCTGGCCCGCTGGCGCAGTGGGTGGCGCGGTGAGCGACTCGGCCAGGCGGGCCGGCTGCATGTCAGCAACGGCGGCAGACGGCCTGGTCGCGTCAGGCGATGGCTGAGGTCGCCATGTGGACGGTGTGGGCGGCTCGGCGCCCGCGGCGGATGGCGGCTCGGGCACAGTGGGAGAGAAAGTGGGCGGAGCCATGGCGGCGGTGGCGGGCGGTGCCGGGGCAGGGGTGGCTGGCGGTGCCGGGGCGGCGGTGGCGGGCGGTGCGTCCGGCGCCTCTCCCGCCCCGGGCGGAGAGCCGGACGCCTCAGGGTCCCCCGAACTCTGGCACGTGCCCAGCTGCTCGCCGGCCAGGCCTGCGAAGTCGCCGGAGCTGACGGCGCCGCCGAACCCGTTCAGCGAGTCGTCGGCGTTGTCGTGGGAGTCTATCCGCGAGTCGGCGTGCTCCAGCGAGTCGAGGCGTGAGTCGGTGTTGTCCACCGAGTCGGTGCCGTGCGAGTCGATGCGCGAGTCCTCGTCGAGCGAGTCGAGCAGGGGGCGCGCCTCCAGGTCGTCGTTGATGTGAGAGTCAATCCGCGAGTCGGTGTTGGAGTCGTCGGTGGCGTTGGAGACGAGCACGTCGCTGCTGCCGCTGACGGCCGGCTCGGGCGGCGGCGGCGCCCGGGCCGCCTCCTCCTGGTCGCCCGGCCCAGCCGCCACCGCCTCCGAGCTCTGCTGCTCGCTGAGCTTGCGCGGTCCGGCCGACGCGTAGCCCGACGACGGGCCGGCGACGGCGGCGGCCGGCGAGGCGGGCGCCGGCGACGCCAGCACGGCCGCGGCTGGCGCCGCCTCGCCGGCGTCGGGGCTGAGCTCGCCTCGCTCCTCCACGACGCTGGTCGAGATGCCCGCCTCTTCCGAGTCCTGGCGGCGCGAGGCGGCCGGCGGCACCGCCTGGCTCGTCGAGATCTCCTCGTCCAGCCGTGCCGCCTTGCCGGCCGACGACGAGCAGCTCGAGTCCTCCGAGTCGGAGTCGGAGTAGTCGGGAACGAGCGCGGGCCGCTTGCGGCCGGTGCTGCTGGTGGCGGGGCCGTCGTCGCGGGGCCCGGCAGCCGTCCGGCTGAAGGTGGAGTCAGCGCCGCCGGCGTGACCCGGCGAGCGGCTGTCCTTGCGCGCCGAACTGACGTCCGGGCCCTGCGAGTCGGCGCCGGCCGGACTGCGCGAGCTGCTGCGGCCGGCCGAGCCCGACACCTCCTGGTGCTGCGAGGTGGCCGCCAGCAGCGGCGAAACGCGCGACGAGCCCGAGATCTCGCCGTGCTGCGCCGTGACGGCGGGCGCCAGGCGCGGCCGCACCGCGCCCGAGCTCGAGATGGCTGCCTGCTGGTCGCCGTTGGGCCGCCACGGCGCCGGCCGGCAGTCCTCGCTCGATTCGGGCTGGTCGGGAGGCGGCGGCCGCGGCGGCGGGGGCGGCGGCAGCGGCGGCGGCGAGAGCGGCGCCCCGCTGCCGCCCACCTCCACCGCCTCGGCCTCCGAGTCGTGCCGGATACGCGCGGCGGCCGGCGGACTGGCGTGGCCGCCCTCGTCCGGCTCGCAGTCGTCGTAGCGGCGTCGCGCCTGGCTGGAGGAGGGCGCGCCGTCGCCCGGCTCGGCCGACGAGACGCCGTCGGGCGGCGGAGCCGCGTCCGCCGCCGCCGGCGCCGCGTCCGACGAGCTGGCGGCGTCGGCGGCGCGTGCGGCGCGGCGCGGTGCGCGCTCCGCCTGAGCCTCCGAATCGGGCTCGGGCGGCGAGCGGCCGGCGCTCGCGACAGCGCCGCCACCGGCGCGCTGGTCGCTGGACTGAGGCAGCTCGCCGGAGGGCCGGCGGCGCCGCGGCGGGCTCAGGCCGCGCCGAGGCTCCGTCGACGTGATGGTGGAGTCCGGCTGGTCCGACATCACGCCTGCACTCCGCCTGTGCAGCACAACTATTAGAAAACCCAGTCCAGCCAGTGCACAGTGGGTTGAGGGAGCTGTTCAGAGTTTCCTCTAGTGACTGCACAAGTTTTGCTCATATTGTAATGCTGATAACCCTGAACACCATGTTGCGCTATCCTGCCCTGTGCTGCTGACTCCAGTAATCTGAAGAGACCCAATGTTACTCAAAATGAGAAAATCCCAAACATATGCCAGCAAGGAATCACAAATTAATGAAGGGCACATGACATGAACAATTTACATGCAATCAGAAAAGGAACTTAATGGATAGGAAAATGAACAGGAATAGAGTGCCACACTAAACATAATCAATTCATGCTTGAAAATCTTAAGCCAGTGGGAATGTTCCAAGCATTGTTAAAAATCAAAGGTAGCATACTTTTGGAATTTCTTGGTACTGCCCCACTATGCATAACTTCACACAATATGCATATATGACAATAGTGCATACCTGAGTATACTATCTATTAATACTAGGGAGACCTGAGCAGCTGCTTTCCTCTCCATCTCACCTGGTTATCTCAGCCAATGATGTCCATCACTGGAGTTCCATCCATGAAAAGCAGGCCCCTGGCAAAGGTATAAAAATCATTACCCATCTCCAATATCTGTGATATTGGCGCACACTCACAGGTATCAGAAGACTGGCATCCCAGTGACTGCTGACCGCGGCGGCCGGTCGGCCTCCGCCTCCGGCGGTCGGCCGCACAGGCGCGGACAGGTGCGTGCACCAGTAATGCACTGTGCTGCATCTTAATGATTGAGATCTACCAGTTTAACCACAGGTCTACCTTCAACTTATCTTGTTCATCAAGAGGGCTTCCATCAACACTGACAACAAGTGTGTGATGAAGCTAGTCCTCTGGATTCAAAAAGCCAAATCTGAAGTCAAGAGTGACAAGAAGCCAAAGTCAATGCCAAGGCCAATGGTTTCAAACTTTGTAAATGAAGAGCCCATGCCAAGGTCTATGGCTTTATAGTTGTAAAACATCATGAAAAGCCAAATCTGAAGTCAGGACACTGACAAGAAGCCGCAGTCAGAGCCAAAGCCAATGGTGTCAAACTTTGTAAATGAAGAGCCCAAGCCAAGGTCTGTGGTTCCATATTTGTAAAACATCATGCTGAATCTGAAGCTAGTAACTTCAAGTTCTGTCTACACAAAGCCAAAGCCAGTCAGCAGCTTTTAAATTGGAGAACACAAAGCAAAATCAAACCTATAAGTTCTAAATGACAAGGCTTAACCAAAACAGACATCTGGCATGTGTTATTTTGTGGAACCAAAACCATTTTCACATCTGCTAAAATGGTATGGGATCAAGAAACATCACAATAGTTGAGGACAAAAATTGAGATAATATGATCCCATAACAGATGGAGGATTTGTTTCAGTGCATTGTTCTTGTCTGGTGTATAAGAATGTGTACAATGTTTTACCTTATTTCTCCAGCCATCCTCAGGTTGCATTAGCCTTGAGAATAGCTGGTTGGTTCTAGCTTTCAGCCATGTGTATATCAACCTGAATAGTTGGAGGGTATTTTGGGATGATAAGACAGGCAATACTGTTTTTTTAAGTAAAACTGCAATGGTAGTAAGGGCATGACAAAGTTGAAGCCTAGCAGTCCAAATTTTCATGGACCCAAACAGGGAACCATAACTTGAAACTTATTCAATGCTTTAGCCATCTGCTGAAAACATCACCAAGCTGAGCCAAGCCAAGTTTTTTATAAAAAAAAAATGTCCAAGCTGAAGCTGAAGCCAGCTATGGAAATGGCTTCAAACCAAAGCAATTAGGATAAACATCAGCAAAGCAAAGCTGGTGCCAGCTTTATTTGGACAAATGGATAGCATTATTATACTATGAGTACACATGAATCAGCATTTGCATTGAATGTTACATCAGCAATGGGCTCACAAATACATCAGCAACAGTCACACATACTGGCTACAATTAGGTAAACAGAATATCTCAGTGTGTACAATATGCTGTTTACAGCTGATCCACAGCCAAGTTAAGGCAAAATATGCTGCTGCATATTATCAATATATGTAAAATGCATGTTACAATCTGAAGTTGGCATAACATCATAACAAACAGCATAAAAATGTGTCACTTTTAATTCTATGTCACACTGTCTTATCTAGCATTACCTTAAACATGCAGATGGATCATTGTCTGATTATCCCAAACAATTCTGAAGATGAATTTGAATTATTTTTTACCATATTATGCCATGCTTATGTTAGTTGTATCAGCTACATGACTTGAAACCATCATAGGCTTAATCTGGTGTGCCTTCTCAGATCACTATTATATACATACAGTCATAGGAAATGTGCATCTTTTTAACATAACGTACCAATGTATGCCATGACCTAGCCTTCCTCCAGCCCTACACAGGGCACTACGCTCTCTTAAATCAGTGTAATCCACATCTGACATCATATTTCTGTGCTGCTATGTGAAGTGCTGGAAGCCTAAATGACTTATCTGAATTTATTTAAGAGTTAAGTATGTGCTCTGTGCAATGATGGAAGCAGGCTCATGAACTCAACAGAACTTTATTCATTGATACTCAATTACTTCTCAAAGCTCTCCCCTCCCCAGTTGCATGCCAGTTGCCTCTAAATACACTGATCTGAGATGAAACATACTGCAAATGCTACAAGTGACACTTTCTGAGTGAGCACTGCAATCAACACAACAAAAACTAAATCACAAGGCTAAAACAAATAACAAGCACGCTTATCAATTGGCTTTATGCTGCTTCAACATCGAATACAAGTCGGTAAGACCGCACACTGATGCTTGGCCACAAATGCTTAGAAACCCCTCTCCAATAGTTTGATAATGATGATGGGCGGGTCTCTCCTCATCCACCTACATCAGAACACACCGACACGGAACAGTACGGCGAGGACGCACAGCCATCCGGTGAATTGTGCATTTAGGGCAGTCCGAGCTTATTTTTTTACTCACGTACCTTATTGATGTGTACCTTATTAAAAGACCTTGGATGGCACGCACCAAGCCGAAACATAAACAGCCGGTAAGCCAAGGTCACCTGAAATATTCAAACTTTACGACCACTGAGAGCAAGAGAAATTACGTCCCTAAGAAACTTACGAAATGCCTGAGAACATCTCTTGTTTATTAGAGCGTCAGTCAGAATCAAAAATTATCTCAATGAAAAACACACCAACCAGACATCAAACATATTATTAAAGGTCAGCCATGTAAGGACAAATCCCATGACGTCATTATATTGCGCGTTGTGGTTTACGAGAATCAATGGTGGCTCGCGTGATATTCTCCGAACATTCAGCTAGAAAAAAGCATATTTTGTGAACAATGGCACTGATATGTGAAAAATAGTCAAATATAATGTACATTTCAGGAAATATTTCAAAACAGTTAACCACTTCAGAGCACCACAGACGCATCATTCCCCGATTCCGTAAATATTACTGACAACTGACAGCGCTGTCCTTTTCCCATCAAACAGACGATGGTGTGTAACTCGCATTTAATTTTGTCGAAATTTGGCTATAAAACTTGTCTAAAGTATCTAAGCTGTTATCTGTGTGTGTCGCTTAGCTCAGGAATGGGTTATCTGATGTGACGGCATCTATATATGTTATATTCATAGCTGGCTGAGGCGTTTTCAGAAGTGCTGGTGATGAGTCGTCTGATCGTCGAAATCGTTGTGCTCTGGATTGTGAAGATCAAGTGTGGTCGGTCGGTTGCACTGAAGTCGGATTACGGGGAGGCTTTGTGTGACGCGGGTTTGTCTTTCAGACGAAGGGAACATCAAGCTACGGAAAGAGGCACAACAAGTCTCACACCCTGTGCCGGAGATGTGGGCGATCGTCATACCACATCCAGAAGCACAAGTGTTCCCAGTGCGGTTACCCTGCTGCTAAGATGCGCTCCTGTAAGTATGTGGAGGTTGAATTCATAAATTTCTGAGAGGCAGTGATGGATTATCACATAGTTTCTTGGGAATTATGTATTATGCTTGATTTCATGGAGCATAACAAACTGGCTCTTAAAGTTAACTGGGTCTGTAGTTACTTGGTTCGGAAACAAGTAGCCTCAGGCTGCACTTGGGATTGGATTTTCGCCCCGAATAACCCTAAAATTTAGTGGGCGTGATACTGTTTCCCAGGACATTTGATATGGAAGTAATGGAATAGTATTTTCAAAGGTTGCACATTATGTTGGTCTGTGCAATGGATTTCATTTCTTGCATTCGTTATCTATGGCCATTTTTACCTGTTAGCCATGTAGCTATATATGCATATGTATGCATTTAAGGTTTTCACTCAGTATCCCAGGATGGGTCTGCCAGGTTGATCTACAAAATTACTGATGGTTGACTACTAGGAGCATGTGTGGAGTGTTCTGGAATTTGGGGTGACAGAGAGGCTATGGGGCCAGTTTGTTAATGGTGGTAGATGAGGCAATAAGATCTTTGGGCAGGTCCAATTCTGGGAATGATGGAGCAGGCAGCCATCTTCTATGCTTGGGGTAAGGCTGATAATGTGCAATGACCTGAAGATGGTTGAGGTTTCCTGATATCATTTGTACTTGCCAATTTGCAATCTTAGTAAGTATGATGTTCCCTGCTGCTCTGCTTGAGATAGTTGAGAATTGTGCTGAATTTGTGATTCTCAGGAAGGTTACCCTGAGTTGAGTAGCATTCAAAAATGCAACAAAATGATTAGTAACATCGCAGTATTTGAGCTAGATCCATCTACTCTCTTACAGTGGCCCATCTGGTGTCTGATTGTGGTTCTTTGTGGCTGGTTCAGTGAGAGCAGCAGGAGTTGAAAATGCTGTAAAAAAATGTCACAAAATGCTGTAATTATGCACTGCTTACTTGGGTTTGGCCTGAGTACCTCAATTTAGTTGGTGGATCTCACGTGACATGTTGGGCCAGAGCAGTGCATCCAGGGCCAGACAGGATAAGATTGCAGCATATTAATTTTTCCCCCTTAATTGCTATGTATCACTGGCTGTTTTCCAGTTTTGCCTGGTTCTTGCTGCAGTGCAATAACTGTCAAATATATCATGGGCTGCCCCATTCTAATTTGAATTGGTGCAGTTTAGGAATTTCTGCCCTTAAGATTTTGAAGACCAGTCCTAAGTATCATGTATTGCCCCCAAGGAGATCTTGTTGAAATCTCTATGTTTTCCAGACTGGTCATTGGGTATGCCTCCAAAGGGATCAGAGTGTATGTCACCTTGGATTATCTAAGTCATGCTACTTATGATATATTTATGGGTCTCAGGCTGTCAATGAGTCATGTTCTGGTTACACAGCTCACTAGGATTCCCACATGTGTTTTTTGCCATGGTGGTATGTGCTTTCACAATCAATGGTTGTATTGCTGTGGTTTAAAAGTTGACCAGCAGCCTCTGTGTTGGTAGAAAAATGTTAAATGTTACTGTCCCCTATGATGTTAAATAGAACATTTTTGATGTTATGGTAGCTCAATCTTTAGGTCAATGAATATGAGCATTGATAAGCATTGAGTGTGTTAAAGCATGCATCATACTACCAACCTGTGTGTTTTAGTTATTAGCATTTGGCCAAGAAAGTTACTTGAGGCAACAATGCCCAGTTGCCTGTCTGGTTTGTATGTGTTGTGATGTTCTGAAAGGTCACATTTTAAATGAAATCAAGATGCATACACCTAAATCATCATGGTCTGCCCATCTCAATGCTCAGTTTGATGGAGCACCTGCTTTCTGATCCACCCACCTATGGCAGGGTGGCTTCCGGTCACTAGGTGCTTGCTGTATATCCTTGGCATGCAAGGCGTGTGGAATGGGCTGAGTGGGGTCAGGGCTTGCTCAACAAACACTGTTTAGCATTAGCTCCGACCCTGGAGGTCCATCCAATCAGAAGGTGCATTTCATGTTTTGCATACAGTGGAAATATGGATGCCCATTGTGTGGGAATAATATGCATAGCCCTTCCACCAGATACAGGGTATCACTCAGTTTCTGGATAAGGGGAGGGGTGGGGTGTGCATCCCTGATTCAGCAGGGGTGTGATGTGTGCTGCATGATTGTGTAGTCTGCACCCTAAAGCCCAAGTAACCTACCAACCTCATGGGGTTGGTGTGGCATAAGGTTCTCATTGAATGTGTGCATGGGGGAAGATAGAGGACTATTGGATCATTAAGGTATTATTTTGTATGTGTATTAACGTGCTTGGTGTGTCATCTCACCACAATTGTTCCCTTGCAGACAACTGGAGTGTCAAGGCTAAGAGGAGGAAGACCACTGGAACTGGTCGCATGCGCCACCTGAAGGTCGTCAGGAAGCGATTCAGGTGTGTATCAGTCTCAGACTAACATTTTGCTCCATGTGTCAGTTTCTGTGTGCCAGTGCATTGTTTGTTGCAATGTGCATTCCTGAATTAGCAATGTTGTTCTTATTTTGGTTTGGTTTGTTTCTTATATCTAAGGGTATCATTGCATGTGTTATCGTCGCATTCTTTGTCACCTGTGCCATTCTTTTCGCGTTCCCGCGATCCGTTAGCTATTTCACCGTGGTTAGATAGATCCCCGTTGACTTTCAAACATTGACGTGGTCTTTTTAATCGTGTGCGTGCATTTACACGTGTAATCACGTGCATTAGCTTCATCGCCGGGAGTCATCCGCGGGCTTAGCGGCAGCATTTCCGCAGCACTTGTAACCTTCCGCCCTTGTGTGTCGTGTGCGGTGCCTGGCGATGAGCCCATGGCCACCACCGTCCAACCCACGGTTGCCATCGCTGAACCCGCGGTCGCCACCGACGAACCCGTGGCCGCCATCGCCGAACCCGTGGCCGCCACCGCCGAGCTCGCGGTCACCACCGCCGCACGCAGCTAACTTTGTTTTATTTGTCTGCAGGTACGGCTTCCGTGAGGGCACCCAGCCCAAGCGCCAGGTGAAGGCCGCCGCCGCCGCCAAGTAAATGTTCGCCGGTATCAGCAAATAAAACACAAAGTACCGCACCTGTTTTAATGCATGGAAGTGATGGACAGCGAAGGAGTTGCCGAGGAGCCACGTGCGTGCCATGGATACGGCGCATGGATAGCGCCGGAAGAATCCGGTGCATGGCAACTGGTGTCGCTTACGCTAAAACCTAGAGGGCTTCTTCACTGCGGCAAGCGGACATGTCAGCGTAGTGAAATATCGCTGCAGATCAGTGCTTACTTAACGTTTCTGTATAAAAGCAAATGGCATCTACCCGTCAGTTTGTACCCTCCAGATTGTTAACAAATTTCAGATAATATACCTCGTGTCATGCTGAGGATTTGGGCCTTGGATATGTACTCCAAGTACTCGCAACATTTTAACGGAAAGGCCCTATGCATTAAAAGGGGCGCTGTGAAATCCGTCACGATATGGAAATCTGCAACGCCCAGAATAGGCTCAAATTTTGGCGTCGCGTATGTTTCGCAGCTGCTCCGACCGAACTGTGAACATCATCCGATCAACATCAACATCAACCGGTCAGTGAACATGAATTATGAACATAGTTCATGTAGTCCTCTACGGAGCACATCACGGAGGGCTCAAAGTCGTCCGTTTTAATCATGGCTTATCTGGTAGGCACATGCGCCCGCGCTATCCCGGATAATCTTGTCAGTTGTTTTGTGATGCACATAGTCAAACGTCGCCGTTTGAATGTCATTCGTAGGCGTGCTTCTCGTGTATGTAGGCGGCTGATGAAATCCGTAAAACAGAAGTGCTTACGATACGAATTAATAAAAAGCACGAACGCTGGCAGCAACGCACAGGTACAGGCACCAGCCCTGGGAGAACGTGTCTCAGTTGCGGTTAATGAACTCAACTCCTCGAACATAAGTAGTCCCGTGAGTAATGCACGCAGCGCGGAACATTGATTGCAACGACTCAACTGGACGAAACTGACGGCAAAATCAAACGACCAAGAAGTGAGCCTACTTGTTTTATTTCTTTGTTTTCACATCAGCTGACATGAACGAACTGAGCAATGATATAACTTGCTGTAAGTGGCCGCTTTGGAGCTGCGAATGCATTGATGCTTACGGTGTCATTGAGAAATAGCCTTGTTCTATGTGAATCGACGGATGGCAGGTAAGGAAGGTCGAGGAAAATGCATTTTTCATTTAAACATTATTCCAGAGTTCGGGTCGGTCTGCCACATTTCGCAACAAAGTGAGCCGGTCGCGCTCGGTCGGCTCGTGTGGCTCCGTGCGTGGTCTGTCAATGTTTGAATTCTATTTGCTATTGATTGTTTTCCAGTCTGCGTGGCAATAAATTGGGTTTTAATCGCAAATCGGTTGGAAGAAAAATAAAGGTACATTTTTGGCTCAGAAAATGAAGTCAAAGATAAAAAGAGGCCGTTATTCGTATATATTTGTCCTTCAATGTTACATTGACATATGTTTCAGAAAAATTGGTATTTACCCTTATGAAGCACTTCCAAACGTACTCAGAAAATCATGTTTGCAAAGAGCGAGTTTAAGAAACAGGGTTTTATTTTCACTTGCTCATAGTTCCTTATCGGTACGCCGTGCGGCACTAAAACCTGAAGAGTCGTGTTTTGGCCTTATCATTACTCCAGACTTGTTCGCGTCAAATTTGAGGGGGGGGATGAAATGCTGAGGCCCCTGGTCAATTTGTCATAGGATGGCCCATCTTTAAACGACTCCAGCCGTCTGAAGACGTCCCTGTGGACCAGCGCGGGGTGGGGCTTAAAACTGCTCGTAGTATTGGCGCGGGTCGGGCGGCAGATCCGCGCTAAGCGGTGTATAGCAAGCCCCCACTTTTCTATTAGTGGTTTCCGGTGCACAAGTGACCCGGGCTGCTACGCATGTACACCCATGCTAGTTTGTATTAATGGTTAGGCCCGCAGCTATATATTTGCCCTAATCAAAGCTCAGAAAGGCTATATTGCCTGGGATTGCCTCACGATGTGCAGCATCTAGTCAACCATGACGTCCCTCGCCCCGTAAGCCCTGGAGTACCGACTGATCCGGCTTAAAGGCACACAGGTCTGGCAGTGGGTGGAGACATGGCCTGGACCCGAGCCTGACCCAGCAGTAGCCTCCGTCGGCGCTACATCGGCCTTGCAACTTCAAGGGTTGGGGACAGCCGTTTCAATGTTTGACGTCATTTTTCATCAGGGTCTTTTTTAAAATCGGTATCAAGTGGTGACTCTGTGTCCAAATATAATCCAGTCGACTGAAAACTTCATTATAAAAACGCGACAAGAAGCTGGGCTAAGCAATACGTTCTTCGCAATACGACATGTGTGCCCCGGCCATTTAATGAATTATACGCGTTCCCTTCCTTAAAGGAAACGCTCCATATTTGAAGATATTGAAGCGAGCACCAGATGATATGAAACAAACTCACTTGTAACTATTGTCGTGCTTTTAAGTAAAAAGGCTGCTCTAGACAACACAATTGTATTGTCTGATGAACATCCTCCACAATGCGTCATTGAATGCGCCATGGAACGTTTGTATACCGTTGAGTGCTGCCAAACCAGCCGTGGGAAATTGTCACTTGCTTATGCTTCAAACTCGTTGAGAGATGGCAGCGCTTGCGGGAAGTGGTCGCTGAGCCAAATGTTACGTGCTCTTGCTTTGGCCCTTTCTCGTGGTGTTCTTGCATATTTATCCGTGAGTTTAAGAAAGCTCCTTGCATTCACACACTCGGTTACGGTGTTATGCTTAAGTTATTCGATTACAAGTCTTTCGTAATAGCTAGTTATTATGTCCGACTTCTTATATGTGTAGCTTGAAAGGTGATTCGTCATTGAAGCTGGCACAACTTGCTCAACATGGTTGAAGAGCCAACTGACGTCCACTATAATTGGAAATCGTGCTGACGGACGCCAGGTCTGAATGGCCCGGCGATTATTCTGCCTGGCTTTGAGCGCCGTATAGCCTGTGGTGTGTCAGAATTTGGATGGCATTGCTATGGCGGCATGCGTGTCTGAAAGGCCTTTAAATAGTCCCCATGGAATAGTTTACTCATGTTTGTGGGCGTGCAGTTTAGTAGAGGGGTTTAGTTCCTAAGAAGTACAAGGCTATGAAATGCAAAGAATGGTCTTCAAAATCGTTATTTCAGTTCAAAATCACGACAAATGTGGAGCACTCCAATTAAAGGAAATAATCCACTTTCGAGTACACGAAGGTAAACGTCAGATGTATTGAAATATACACTTCTAACTATTGGTTTGCTCAAAATGTTGAAGGCTGTTTGACAAAAAAAATTATATAACTTAATAAATATGTTTCTCAACGCGTTATCGTTTGATTACGTCAAACGATAACGCATTTACGTTGTGGAATGTCTACGGTAACGCGTTTGAAACGATAACGCATTTGGTTACGTCGTGGAATGTCTTTACAAGGTAGAGTCGCTACCAGACTGGCCGCGTCAGCATTGCCATTGTAGCGGACGGCAAACTAACTTGTAGTACTTAGGAGGTGGCGATGTGTTGCTGGAGCGTGTTTGCGGAACCGGATATCGTCATGTGCTTCTGCTTTGGCCTTTTCCCGTGGAGTTCTTGCATATCTATCCGGGATTTCATATTATTTAATTGCATTCACATATACGGTTACGACGCCATTCAAATATCTTCAATTCCGAGCCTTATTTCCGTCATAACTAGCACCATTGTCCAACTTCCTGCATTATGTAGCCAGGGGAGGCGCCACTGGGGGGGGGGGGGGGGGGGTCGGATAGCGGACGGAACACTTATCCTTACTACATCCTATCCGCTCTATCCCCCATTTTTCAAGGTTGGAAGCCAGCGGTGTTAAGTGCCCCCCCCCCCCGACACTCACACATTTTTTTCAGATTTAAATTGGATTCAGCATGTTTTTGTACTACCCTTAACATGTACGCCGATTAACTTAGTTCACCAGTCATTTTCCTCAAGATGCGTCGTGTTTTTCGTTTGTCTATTGGCCATCGCTTACTATTAGCTGCGGGGCCGAAACCGCGTGGCTTATGGAGAGGACGACGCCGGGTGTCGAGGCGTTTATAAGATTTGCGAGCGCGCATGTTTAAAACCAGATTACATAATTTTTTTCGTTATTCAGTTCTGGCTGCGTGTCGAACATTTTAAGATGAACACGGCTTAGCCACGTCATTATAAATTTTGGTCCCCATTTCTATGTGGGTTATGCGTTCAGGAGATCCTCGATATATCTGAAGAACATAGAAAAATTGAAACTCAAGTCGTTGTGACAATTATTGGACCACATGTGGGGATCAGGGGTGTTGTTGCGCCAATGAGGGTTCCTGTGTTGATCAGGGCAACTGCACGGGTCAGAAGGCTTCCTCCGTCAGAGAAGGGAACAAGATGGTATGATGTACCCCTCTAAGGTTTCCAGATCGGCCAGGAGATCCCGCCCAGCGTGCCTAGAATGGCAGCCGGGAGACAATCCGCGGTGGGGCGGAAGAGTCCTTCAGCCCTTGACCGGAAACAATAACGTGTCCCTAGTGTTTTACTCAAGGGGCCCCTTGTCAAGAAGAAATAAAGGGTCTCATGCTTGTTGAATCGAATGGGTTGAAATGAGGTTCAAACTAGTAAAGTCATCCCATGTTTGCCAAAAAACGGACATTTTTCAGAATGGATTGATGAAACAGATTGCATCGAAAGATTTGACCATCCACGCCCGCAATCTCAGGAGCAAGGACAGCGATGGTCTGGGTTACGCTTTCGTAAAACCGAACGGCGTCGGCTATTGCACGTGATACCAAGTGACGGGCGCTGTGTTAATCTATCCTCTGGACAGATTAACAGACTGCAACGCCTTGCGTCTATGTGTTTGATGCCAAGCTTTGCGAGCGCATGCGTTCAAAACTACGTTACATCATTTGAAGCACCAATTGATTCTGAATAAATGTTGAACGTTCCAAAACAGGCATGCTTGGTCATGTTAACACACATTATTGATCCATCTCGATCTTCAAAATACCTTCACGAGGTCTTAAATATGTC